ATCCCGTAATTTGGTTTAGAGATCCGATGATTGGATCATGAAGAAATTAACGGTACCCCTAAATTTGAAGTCGGTTGTGTTCTTTCCTTAAAAACTACTTGTTTAATAAAAAGTTCTATAAACTCAAGATGCGCTCAACTTTAAAAAGTACCTAATAAAAAATTTTAAAAGAGTCAGTAAAAATAAATTTATTGATTCCATAAATTTGTGTACTTTTATGTTCATTTTTTCGATTTCTGGTTTCTGGTTTTCGATAGAGATGGTGAGTTTTCACGATTGCTAAATTTTTTTACACCCGAGAGCACTTGTGCACAAGGGTATATTAATTTTGTTCACATAACGGTTGTTTGTAACAGCCAAAACGAATCGAGATAGATATAGACAAATGTATACATAAATGATAGAGAAAAAAGAAATCGATTAAGCCATGTCTGTCTGTCCGTCCGTCTGTCCGTCTGTCCGTCCGTCCGTCTGTCCGTCCGTCCGTCCGTGTACACGATAACTCGAGCAAAATTGAGATATCTCAACGAAATTTGGTACGTAGGTTTCCCTTAATCCAAGGTAGGTTGGTATTGAAAATGGGCGAAATCGGATTGTAACCACGCCCACTTCCCATATAACGGTAATTTCCAGAAATACGAAAACTGCGATATTTTAGTAACTACTCAATATAATTCACTCAAAATTGATATTTACAATAACTTTTAGACGAAAAATAAGAATATTATACATTTTTGGAAAATGGGCGTAGCCACGCCCACTTATGATCACATATATGTAAATCGGTAACCATTCTACCAATTTGTACCAAACTCGGTGTGGTTATTGTGCTTGCCACATATAAGCAAAACGTTGAAAATTATTGAAATCGGACTAAAATTACGGCCGCTTTTCATATAACGGTAAATTTCAGAAATGCTTGAAACTTCCATATTTCGAAATTTAAAAACGGTAATTTACTCCAAATTGATACACCCCGGCTTACCATGTAGCGGTTGCTTTCGGAAAGGTGAAAAAATATATATTTAATACTTGCGCCGGGTATTTAATGTTCGGCTCCGCCCGAACTTAGACTTTCTTACTTGTTAATATTTCGAATACCGAAAAAATTAACTGAACTCTCAAGAAAAACGAAAAATTCACATAAAACGACGGACGAGAAATGGAAAAGAAATTTTCTTCTACTAAAATTTCTTAAATCAGTTTGCAGCTCTCAAGAAAAAAATGCTCGTATATTTATTTCCTCATAGAAATTTACAGCAAAAGCAAAGCGCTTTTTCAGGCAACAAATTATAATAAATGTTTCTTATAATTTCCTTGAGCTGGATTCTTAGCTTTAAGATACAGTTTGTATTTGAGGTTATTAGTTTTAGGGGGGGTTTGAACCCCAAAACCCACCCCTTGTGTGCGCTAATGCGTATATACATACATATCGTCGTTTAAAGTACAAAACCGCGTATCGTCGCTCTACAATACCGCGTAACTGACATTTTGTGCCAAAAATTGTATTTGCTCACATAAGCTCTGGGCTCTATCCTTATCCATTAGTCCTGCAATATACTAGCCAGAAATGCGATTGCTTTATAAAAAAGAGAACCATTTTGAAATATGAGTGTTTTTACTCTCTAGAAAATAATTCATGCAACCTCACCTACGCGGTTTTGCATTTTCTTGATACGCGGTTTTGTACTTTAAACGACGATATGTAGATTTGTTTGCAATACGGACGCTTTTTAGTTTTTTTTTGGTTTCGCTAACACTATATTTACTCTTTTTAGAAAAGATTTACTGCAAAACTGCATACGTACTCAATTTTTTTCCAAAACGAGTAATTACACACATTTTATGAAATTTTGCAAAAAGTTTGGAGTTTTTTGGAGTTTTTGTTGTAGTATTAGCAATAATTTTATATAGCATTATTTCCAAGAGGCTTCGAGGAGCCCTTTAGTCGGAGGAGATAGAGATGCAGGTCACTTTGGTCTTTGCTTTCTCAAGTTAGAAAGGTGAGAGTTGTCCCATTATTTTTTTGTACCAGCTTCCAATTCAAATTTCACGGATCGAATCGGAATTAAAATATCGACAAAAAATCTAATCGGAAGGGCTCGATTAATCGATATTCGATTTAATCGATTTAAAGACGGCATCTATGTAGTATTTATGAACCCTCAGGCGCGTACCTGTTGAGGAACTTGTGTTTTTTTAGCATTTGCCTTAAGATAAAAAACAAGATTTTAACCAAATAAGCTAAAGAGAAATAAGGTAAATTAACCAGATACTTCAACTGCTAGAGTAAACGCTTCGTAAAGATTAACCGTTTTTTTCATAGCAAAATCTGCCAAAAAAGAAATGGTTTTCTGCATTGACTTAAATTAAAAAAAAAATAAAATTTAAGGATGGATCAGTGCACCAAAACCAGGACGTCTGGCAGCCCTAAGCTACAGCCAAAATAATTATGTAAGCGTGTTTTCAAATGTTAAGTTTGAATTACAAGGAGCAAGCAATTGTCCGACAATGCATATGATTTAAACTACTTTAAAATGCATTGGGCTCATATAAATTAAAAGCAGTGGCCGAAATGCTGCATTTGTTTCAAAGTAATTTATTTATAGCTCCTTTTTCAATTGGATAATTTTTGAGATTGTATGCTTTATTCCGACAGAGGATGTTTATATTTACATAACAAAAATAAATGTATATATAAATATAAGGAGCAATATGTGAAGTATCAGCTAAGAAAACTCTTTGTTGCATGGGCAGCAGGTGATACATTTTTTTTTTTTAATTTACTCAATTTTCTTACTTCGCGACGTTAGGCTGATAAAAGGGTTGATTGCCGCTCCTGCATCAGTGGCCTATTGTTGGAAATTGCCCTTAAGGAAAACTCACTTTTAAGGCATGCACTTAGTTATCAGTTGCTGTCCGTTTCTTCTTCGCGTCCTTCACATTTTTGATGTTGATTAATTGTGTTGTCGCGAAACAACTCGCACTGCGCCGGCCTTTTGGTTTTTCTATGAGCGGCGGTGAGTGCGTCAGAGGCACAAATCGCCACACCTTTCTCGTAAAAATGCACAACTGTGACCCTCACTTGCAAAGTTAAATTAAAAAATTTCACTGAAGTCAAGTAGTCAACAGTATTTTATTTAAGTTTGATTGACTGCGAAAACATTTGGCACTGCTGTTTGAAATATAGATGAACAAGACAATTCAGCGTGCGGCTTAAGCCTCAAGGCACTTGCAGGAAGTTCATAGCTTTAGCTGTCACTTTGATTTTATGGTCTTAAAATGTGGTTTAGCGATAAAGAAAGTTACTTGCCACAAGTAAAATTTCTGCGAAATATCAGTATATTTATCTATTTTTCAAATGCGTTTTTTGAATATAAAATAACTTTAAAAAGTTTCATCAAATCATTTTCAATCCAAGTAACTAAAGTGTAATCTAAAGTTTGCATGGTTTTTCTATTGCTCTTAATTAGAGCCCTCAAAATATGAAATATGTATTTATGTAAATTTAAATTATTCAAAATATGTATATACATACATAAATATGTATGCACTATTTACATATGTACATATTCACAAACTTGATTTTTTCTGCATTTTTTTAGCAAATGGTTCCTACCAACCTGGCATGGAACCGAAACGGCAGCGCACCGCCTACACACGCCATCAGATACTCGAACTGGAAAAGGAATTCCATTACAATCGTTATCTCACTCGTCGCAGACGCATCGAAATCGCACATACGCTGGTGTTGTCGGAACGGCAAATAAAAATCTGGTTCCAGAATCGACGTATGAAGTGGAAAAAAGATAATAAATTGCCAAATACTAAGAATGTGAGGAAGAAAACGGTAGACGCAAATGGAAATCCAACACCAGTAGCGCCGAAGAAATCAAAAAGGGTTAGTGCTAAGAAACAGGCGCAGCAACTGCAACAGACAACCCAGCAACAGTCGCAACAGCAACAACAAAAACCAGTGATAAATGAGGTAAAAGGAAATGTATTTGTTTGCATATACATATGTCCATACATTAAGGGTGTTCTCACTTTTAACATTCAAAAAAAAAAAAAATAAAAAAATTGTGAAGAGCAAAAAATTTAAGGATGGATCAGTGCACCAAAACCAGGACGTCTGGCAGCCCTAAGCTACAGCCAAAATAATTATGTAAGCGTGTTTTCAAATGTTAAGTTTGAATTACAAGGAGCAAGCAATTGTCCGACAATGCATATGATTTAAACTACTTTAAAATGCATTGGGCTCATATAAATTAAAAGCAGTGGCCGAAATGCTGCATTTGTTTCAAAGTAATTTATTTATAGCTCCTTTTTCAATTGGATAATTTTTGAGATTGTATGCTTTATTCCGACAGAGGATGTTTATATTTACATAACAAAAATAAATGTATATATAAATATAAGGAGCAATATGTGAAGTATCAGCTAAGAAAACTCTTTGTTGCATGGGCAGCAGGTGATACATTTTTTTTTAATTTACTCAATTTTCTTACTTCGCGACGTTAGGCTGATAAAAGGGTTGATTGCCGCTCCTGCATCAGTGGCCTATTGTTGGAAATTGCCCTTAAGGAAAACTCACTTTTAAGGCATGCACTTAGTTATCAGTTGCTGTCCGTTTCTTCTTCGCGTCCTTCACATTTTTGATGTTGATTAATTGTGTTGTCGCGAAACAACTCGCACTGCGCCGGCCTTTTGGTTTTTCTATGAGCGGCGGTGAGTGCGTCAGAGGCACAAATCGCCACACCTTTCTCGTAAAAATGCACAACTGTGACCCTCACTTGCAAAGTTAAATTAAAAAATTTCACTGAAGTCAAGTAGTCAACAGTATTTTATTTAAGTTTGATTGACTGCGAAAACATTTGGCACTGCTGTTTGAAATATAGATGAACAAGACAATTCAGCGTGCGGCTTAAGCCTCAAGGCACTTGCAGGAAGTTCATAGCTTTAGCTGTCACTTTGATTTTATGGTCTTAAAATGTGGTTTAGCGATAAAGAAAGTTACTTGCCACAAGTAAAATTTCTGCGAAATATCAGTATATTTATCTATTTTTCAAATGCGTTTTTTGAATATAAAATAACTTTAAAAAGTTTCATCAAATCATTTTCAATCCAAGTAACTAAAGTGTAATCTAAAGTTTGCATGGTTTTTCTATTGCTCTTAATTAGAGCCCTCAAAATATGAAATATGTATTTATGTAAATTTAAATTATTCAAAATATGTATATACATACATAAATATGTATGCACTATTTACATATGTACATATTCACAAACTTGATTTTTTCTGCATTTTTTTAGCAAATGGTTCCTACCAACCTGGCATGGAACCGAAACGGCAGCGCACCGCCTACACACGCCATCAGATACTCGAACTGGAAAAGGAATTCCATTACAATCGTTATCTCACTCGTCGCAGACGCATCGAAATCGCACATACGCTGGTGTTGTCGGAACGGCAAATAAAAATCTGGTTCCAGAATCGACGTATGAAGTGGAAAAAAGATAATAAATTGCCAAATACTAAGAATGTGAGGAAGAAAACGGTAGACGCAAATGGAAATCCAACACCAGTAGCGCCGAAGAAATCAAAAAGGGTTAGTGCTAAGAAACAGGCGCAGCAACTGCAACAGACAACCCAGCAACAGTCGCAACAGCAACAACAAAAACCAGTGATAAATGAGGTAAAAGGAAATGTATTTGTTTGCATATACATATGTCCATACATTAAGGGTGTTCTCACTTTTAACATTCAAAAAAAAAAAAAATAAAAAAATTGTGAAGAGCAAAGCGTACATACACGTTTGTAATTGAAGGTTTGCTCGAGGCAAGGCGAATTTATACAAGGTGGTGTTGATGGCGAGTTAAATTTTCGCCGTGGTACTACTGAATGTCAAAATGATGTGTTTGTTGTAAACAACGCGAATTCATTTTACAACAAACACATAATTTTGACATTAAGACGTACCTCGGCGAAAATCTAAATTCGCCATCAACACCACCTTGTATAAATTCGCCTTGGCTCGAGGCTAGTTCTTCGCTTTGCTCGCCGCATCATTATGTTTTTACCTTAAAGGAGGATCGCGGCGAATTCAACATCGATAACAAAAATTTTTTTTCCAAAATATTCTCGAACAATATACAACGGATACATTTCATCTCTCGTTTAGATTCTGGCATAGTCAATAATCATATGTTTGTCAATGTTTATGGCGAATAACCAAAACTTAAAAAAACAAAACGGCTAAGCTTTTTACGCCAGACTTTTAAATCGGAAACCGACAAAAGAGAAAAGAACGAGTCTAGAAAATGACAAACAACCAAGCAAGCAAGAAGCATAAAAAGTATTCCACCGAGGAATGCAAGGCGAATTTATACAAGGTGGTGTTACTGGCGAATTCAAATTTTCGCCGTGGTCCTTCTGAATGTCAAAATGATGTGTTTGTTGTAATATGAATTCGCCTTGTTTACAACAAACACATCATTTTGACATTCAGAAGGACTGCGACGAAAACCTAAATTCGCCAGTAACACTACCTTGTATAAATTCGCCTTGGAGGAATGCCTGGTCTGAGCCACTTCTGGCCAAATGATCAGATGTCTCATTACCAGGTACTCCTGAGTGACCTGGCATCCAGAGTAAAGCAAACTCATTATGTTTACCACCATAATTTAGCGGAGACTTGCATTGCCGAACTAGTTTGGAAGTAGTTAGAGGGCTGGCCAATGACCCAGATCATGACCCAGTCAGTTTTGGAGCCATCAGTGAAGATTTGACAATGTGTGAGGTCAGTCTCAGTCTCAGGGAACTCAACATTATAGAATCTCTTCACCAAAGGTAATGGTGGCGTACTAGCCTGTAGCATTGAAAATACACAAGTGCTTAAATCTCTGCCGCCTGCAATTTCCGCCGCGCCCACTCAGTGTTATACGAACATCCATTTCCTTTTAGTATGCAGGTGGCAAGTCGAGTCTCCCTTGTACCCCTGGGGGTACACCTGGACCGCTTTGGGAATCACTGGTGTAGACGATAGCTCGAGCAAAAATTGAGATATCGCAACGAAATTTTGTATGTAGGTTGCTCTTTATCCAAGGTAGGTTGGTATTGAAAATACTGTATCGCACGGCCACTTCACCAATCGTTACCAAACTTGGTACGAGCCTTGCCTAGGGTATAGCTAAGAAATCTGTTGAAAATCTTTGAAATCGGACAATAACCACACCCAGTTCCCATATAACGGTAATTTACAGAAACACGAAAACTGGTAAATCAGTAACTACTGAAGCTAGCTCACTTAAAACCGATTATTGTATCAACGATTTGGCATAAAATTAGATCATTATACATTTTTGGAAAATGGATGTGGTGCCGCCCACTTATGACCACAAAAGTGGATCTCGGTAACCGATTTATAAATTTCTACCAAACTCGCTGCACTTAATAACCTCGGTACAAGAAAGAAATTATTCAAATCGGACTAAGATTGCACCCGTTTTCCGTATAACTGTAAATTTAAGATATACGAAAACTCCGAGAAAAACACCCCTGCTTATCATGCAAATGTAGTTTAGAGAAACTTGAAACGAAGATATTTGATACCTGGACGGGTCAAGATTTATATACATACTAGAGTGCCTGTTAATGTCGAAATTCGACAGTTTTTTTAGTTTTAGAAGCCTTGGAGAGGTTTTCAAACTTAACACGTAGCAAAACTTATACGGTACAAATTAACTAATCGGAAAATCTTCTGCTAAAACGTAACTAACTTTTTTTTATCTGAGAAGGTCTTTGGAGGACTTCGGCAGGACTTGGAATTGACCCGATACATTCAAGTTTATCGATAAATTTCAATGATTTGAACACTAAAATTCGATAACTTAACAAAATTTGTTAACTCGACCAATATCGATAACTGTGAAATTCGATGGCTCGATAAATTTCGATAACTCAAAAATGTACAAACTTTGGATACCTTTAAAAACTTTTGACATCTCCACATTTTTTGAAAACTATCTAAACATTTGGATAACTCGTTACACTCTGTTAAGACGATTAAATTCGATAAGCAGTGATAAATCGATAAGCTTATATAACATTGAAATTTCGATAAATCGATATATTTTGAAAATTCCATAAACTTCGATTCGTTGAACCAACCAATTTCAGTAGATCAATAATTATCGATAACTCTGTAAGTTGAAAGAACTCCATGCATTACGACACTTCGAAAATTTCGTTAAGTCTATAAATAATGATAATTCAATAAATATCGATAACTTGATACATTTCTTTAACTTGACAAATTTCGTTAATCCCACACGTTTTTATAGCTCGATAACTATCCGTAAATTTGGACAACTAAGTTTCTGTGTCTATAAATTTCGACAACTCAGTAAACATTGATCAGTTTGAATAATTCGATACGTTGCGATAACTTAATAAGCATGGATAAATTTCGATAATTATAAACTTCGATGATTCGATAAATTTCAGTAACCTTTATGGCTGATTTTATTTCGATTCCTATCGGAAAATTTCAACTCTGTTAACCTAATTCTTATGTATTTCTCATTGTCTCCATTTTCGCCTTTATCTCAATTTTCGTCTTTATCTTCACTTTTGCCTTATTTGTCTTCATCGTTATCACTTGTTTCTTCTTCTTCATATTTATCTTTATTTCAAAGTTTAATTTCAAATACGAAGTAAAACAAAATGCGAAACAGCTTAAATTGAACAGGTTGCAAAAACAACCATACACAAATATGGAAATTTTTAAACGACGATTTTCAACCAATTTCGAAACTATAAAAACTCTCCTCATCTACAGAAAATTACCTTTCTAACGGTGTTTTTGGTTTTGAAATCGGTAACTTTACCTTGGTCTTCATCTTTGTTTTTATCTTTCACATCTTTGCTTATATCCTTTTCTTTTTCTATTCACGTAGATGAGATGAGGTGCGATTACGTGATAAGATGTGACGTGATTTTATGTGATGTGATAGGATGTCATGTCATGTGTTGTCATATCCTGTGATGTCATGTCATATGATGTCATACCATATGATGTCATATCATGCGATGTCACGTCATGTAATGCCATGTCATGTCATACGATGTCATATAATGTGATGTCATATCATATGGTGTCATATCACGTGATATCGTGTGATTTGATATCATATTATGTGATGTAATATCATGTGATATAATGTGATGTGATGTCATGTAGTGTAATAACAATATCTATACGCATATAGAAAAATATAACGAGTGCAAAATCGATTGATTCATCGATAAATATCACAATCANCACTAAAATTCGATAACTTAACAAAATTTGTTAACTCGACCAATATCGATAACTGTGAAATTCGATGGCTCGATAAATTTCGATAACTCAAAAATGTAAAAACTTTGGATACCTTTATAAATTTTTACTTTTGACATCTCCACATTTTTCGAAAACTATCTAAACATTTTGATAACTCGTTACACTCTGTTAAGACGATTAAATTCGATAAGCAGTGATAAATCGATAAGCTTATATAACCTTGAAATTTCGATAAATCGATATATTTTGAAAATTCCATAAACTTCGATTCGTTGAACCAACCAATTTCAGTAGATCAATAATTATCGATAACTCTGTAAGTTGAAAGAACTCCATGCATTACGACACCTCGATATATTTCGTTAAGTCTATAAATAATGATAATTCAATAAATATCGATAACTTGATACATTTCTTTAACTTGACAAATTTCGTTAATCCCACACGTTTTTATAGCTCGATAACTATCCGTAAATTTGGACAACTAAGTTTATGTGTCTATAAATTTCGACAACTCAGTAAACATTGATCAGTTTGAATAATTCGATGCGTTGCGATAACTTAATAAGCATAGATAAATTTCGATAATTATAAAGTTCGATGATTCGATAAATTTCGGTAACTTTTATGGCTGATTTTATTTCGATTCCTATTGGAAAATTTCACTTCAGTTACCCTAATTCTTATGTATGTATGTCTCATTGTCTCCATTTTCGTCTTTATCTCCATTTTCGTCTTTATCTTCACGTTTTCCTTCTTTTTTGTCTTCATCTTCATATTTATCTTTATTTCAAAGTT